GCCCCCCCAGATGAGCTGCGGCTCTGTCCCGCACCCACCCCGCCCTGGTTGGGCAGTGCTTGCCCCTGCCCCAGCTCCAGCCCTCCTCCCCACTCTTGGCAGAGGCCTTGATCTGCACCCCCACACCTCTTCCTTCCCCACTCCCCTCACACCAAACTTACCAGCTGGAAGCAGCTCTCCATGCTGCCAGGCTGTGCTCCTCGCTGCCTGTGCTGCGCTGCACACATGCATGGGCCATTCATCGGCTAAATTATCAATCTGATATGGCCGATTTCTGATATACTACGTTTTCTTTATATCTGTGCCAATCCGATATTGGACTGGTGTATCGGTGCAACTCTATTATTTTCCAACTAAAACAATGTCTTGCTCCTAGCTGCCAGCCCTGTACACGCACCCTGGTCATCTAACAGCCAAGCAGTGTTCTTTTCCTGGTCACACATCAGCTTCACTAAGAGATTCTGGAACTGAAACTCAGGTAGCTTTCTGTCACTGATGCAGAAGGCAAAACAAGATCCTGGTCACTCTTCTGGAGCTACTTATACAGTTGCTTCATCTCAAAACAGAAATGTAGTCCACACAACAGGGTTGAGAGAGAAAGTCATTCTGGCAAGAGCACAGCGCTTCAAGCTAGGAATGAATCAATGCATCTGTCCTTCATCTTCCCTTAAGAGGCTCCTTACCAAGTCCATACTCCACAGATTCTGGGTGATCATCATCCCCTTCCTCACTAACTTTTTGTAGGTGCTGCAGATAGGCATCAGTGTGAAAGCTCGCCATCTCCTCCATGGAAGCCACCTTTGGCTTGACTATCCTACCAAGACAAAGGGAAGGAGATCAGATCAGTAGGGCAGTCATAGTGTGTAGCAGTTCCTCAAGTCAGGGGCCTCTTGTTGACCTGGATCAAGCGTAGTCCTATGCTTGCCTGGCAGGGGAAATACCACGACCACCATGGTAGCTTCCTGATCACACCCGGGGAAGACTGCTCTGCTGGCATGGGATAGTACCTGCGTAGATAATACATGGTTAACCTTGGTTTTATGCCCACTTTGTGAAAATGGGAGACTCCTCCCTGGCTTGCTCCTGGGGCCTTATGGTTAAGGGTAACCAAAACTCGGGGCTTGGGCCTGCAAGTAGGGTGCCTACCAAAGGATTTGGGAACATCTGAAGCCCCAGATGGGGGTGGAGGATGTTTGCTAGTAGTAGGGCTACTCATGGTTCTGGACCAACTCATGGATTTGGAATTTGTTTCGGCTAATTTAGCTTGGAATACGGAAAATTTAAATTAAAAAAAAATGTTCCTCAGGTCAGGGGACTCATCTTCACTTATGGTATAAACAAAATACAGGCATTCTTGCAGGTCGGATTTTCATTTTGAGTGGGAAAGACTTTGCTCTAAGCTAAAGTGTAATAATTCTGCTGAGCCTGGTGCTTCCTTATTGGGACTACACTTGATTTGGCACACAGGCAGGCACTAGATAACTTAATTTTGCTCTCTGCCACCTCCCACAGGCAGCAGCCAGGGCTCAAGTGCTGTTGGGGGGAAGGGTGGGGCAGGGAGTTGCAGGTCCTGGCCCTGGTCCCACAGCCCTGACAGCTGGGGGCCCCCTTTGGCATAGCTCGGGGGGACAAGGGGCTGTGGGTCGCAAGTGAGGGACATCAGCAAGGCCTCCCCCACAGGGGGGCTGTGGGTCAGGAGTGAGGGGCACCTGAGCGGGTGGGGGGCTGCAGGTTGGGAGTGAGGGGCCATGCTGAGGAAATGGGGTCATGCTGAAGAAAAAATTGGGAAGCACTGGCTTAGCCCCTGAAACAAGTGCCTCGGCCCTGCCCAAGTCCCCAGCTTTTAACACATTTTCTCCTAGTTTCTGGTGATTAAATGCCCTTTTGGGGCTTGGGCAGCACACTGCTTTTAAAGCAGTTGTGAAAAACGCAGGACTGTATAATATTTTATTAGGATTATCTAGATCTCCATTTGACTCGTGTTCTGGTTGTTACAGGAGTGGGAGGGGTTAATTTAAATAGTAGTTTCTTGCCCATAACAAAAGAAGGAACAAGAGCTTCATTTACTAGACAGGAAAGACAACATAGGTGTCCCTGGCTTTTAGTCATACCTTTGACCCAGCTGAGCTCAAGTCTCTCTGGGAACCATAAAAGAGGAATGAGGGAAAAACAGGACAAAAAACCCTAAGGAGATAGCAGAACAGGCCAAGAGAGAATGAGGCAGGGTGCACTTGGGGGAAAGACTGGCTTCCAACCTTAGCAACTGTGGTCTTGGCATGAGCTAGGTCTACTGAAGTCAAGAGGGTGCTGTATTATAAGGGATTGGTTTAAAAGTGGAAGTGTCACAGGAATTCTGCCATCGATAGATTACTTAGGGGGTGCACTTGGCAAGAGCACAGATGGGTTGAAATTCTTGCTCTAAACTGGCAACTGTTTCTGACACCTTCTGCTCCTGTGTGTCCAGGAGGAACTTCCAGACACCAGCCCCTGAGAGGAACGAACCTGGGCTCATTTAGGATGCTGTTATTGGATGCCACTCTGAGGTACCATCCTATGCATCAGTCTGCTATGTATACATGCCCCATGTCTGCGAGCAATAGACAAGGAAAAGCAACCCTTTTCCCCTTCCCGCCTCCGCACTCCACATTCTCCTGGATGCAAAAAGAAAGGCTCTTCACTGCTCTATTCAGCCCTAAGCCTCTATCTGAATCCTCCTCCTCCCCCATATAAACAGTACCCAGGCCTAGGAGAGCTTGCCTAGGTAAGGTCACAATAAAAATGACGCAGTCCATCAATGTCCTTGTCTCCCATGTCTCCGTCTGCATTTGCTCGCTTTCACCCATGGAGAAAACGAAATATTTAGTACCTGGAGGCCCTTCCCATGGGACTATAAAGTCTAATCATGAGCTGAATCTGCCCTGACCTTCTCACCAGGAACTGCCAGTGTCCAGGCAGCTGCACGTGCAAACCTTCCTGCCCAACCAGTGAGGCAGAAAAGGGGTTTGGCTCTGACAGACGCCCGCGCCTTCAGGGGAGCCCGCCCCACTGCCGAGTGCCCCGCGGGGCGGGGGCGGACGGCGGGGAGGAGCGGCGGGCCG